AATAATAATAATAATAATAATAATAATAATAAATAATAATAATAAACTAATTAATTAAATGTCTTCTTTGGCAGATAACTGATTGAAGAAAAATTTAAAATAAAAATAAGCATCACAATTTCTAACTTAAATTGATTTATGAATTTCAGATTATGAGTTTTTAGAGCTTACTTAAGAATTCAAACTGTACCTCACCTTTTTTCAAAATCTGTGTGATTCCTAAATTTTCATTTTGCGGTGCAAATAATTAAAATTCAGATAGAGGGGTAAGGGTCTCAAAGATGATGCAATTAAGAAAAGGGGTACAACAGAGACCAGAACACAGCAGGTTATGACAGGTGTGGGCTTGGTTTGAACCAAGGTAACTTATAAGAAAATACAGGGCAGCTGTGGCAAGAAACAGAATCATCAAGGTTTCACTCTTCTTTATCTTCAGTATGTTTGTCAGAATCTCGTTTCATAGTATTTCCAAATGAAATCATACTTCACTCATTTACTGATACAATCAAGCTTAAAGCACAAACACAAAGCCCTATTGTTATCATCTTCATCGTTGTCACTGCTGTAGCCTTCATCACTGCGTCACCGCCTTCATCATCGCTGCTATCACCTTCATTGTGGTCACCTTCATCATCATTGCCCTAGTGGTTGTCATCGTCGCCCCCTTCATCATTGTGGTCGTCACTGTCGTTGTGGTCATCATCATTGTGGTCGTCACTGTCGTTGTGGTCGTCACTGTCGTTGTGGTCATCATCATTGTGGTCTTCGTTGCCTTCATTGCGGCCCTCCCCATCACCATGATCATCACCTTTTAAATCTTCCTGGGTTTCCTCATCATCTGCACCTGTTTCATCATCCTCTTCTTTCTTAATCTTTTTCTTTTCTTTGATTTTATGATTAAACATCTCAGCCAAGTGTCTCTGGTGAATTTTTTTTTTCAGGACTTTCATGACAACCTTCATTGCCTAACTTGGCCCATAATGGTTGACCAGGATTTCAGCAATATGTTCACTAAAGGAGATTTTCTTAATATCCTCCCTGAGAATATTTTTTTAGCTTGACAAGAGTAAGTTTACTCCTCAATTCTTCATCTACTAGTTTTTGAAGAGAATTTGGCAGGTGCTTATGCACCATTTTGTGCATCTTTGAAGAAGTTGACCAGTGTGTCTTGCTCTTATCTTGCGGTTCTCTCCAGCCAAGGGCTGGATGTCAAGGATTGGTGGAGTCGATGCAGGGACATACAAGAAAGCGTCCATTCTCGTTGATGTCCTTGGAGCAAACCCCTGTCTTTGCCCTTTCCATTTGGATTTGTGAAATGGCTGTGTTTTCCAAATTTATACTATTCCTGTTACTTATAAAGTGCATTTCATTTCTACAATGACTTTATTTTCCTGCAATTCTTCCCTAAGTTCTATTGACATACTATTAACTTCTTGCTTGATGTATTCTTTCTCAGAACTTTTTGAACTGTCTTTTAGAGAAAACATTGTAATTTTTAAAAAAAATACATAGGTTCACTGCCTTCCTATATTTTAGGTAATGCTTTTTTAATCTACTTTTTGTAGTATGTTTTTTAATCTACATCTTTAAAGTAAAAACAGTGATTCATCTTTAAACAGGGCTAAGGAATAATGTGAAGGGGAATGATCAAGGGCAATTACCATTGTAAATTCAGTTTATTGTGGGCACAATCTCACGAAGCCTGTTACTACCTGCAGGTGGGCTGGAGCTCTTGTATGTTAAGCTAACAGTTTAAATTGAAATACAAGGAAAGGGACATTTGGACACCTTCATTTGCTCTACAAAGATGCTCATCACCAACCTTCCTTGCTGATAAAATATTTTTTTTAAAAAAGAGATTGGAATATATATATATATATATATATATATATATATATA